GGGCGGGGAGAAGGGTGCAACAATGAATGAATAGAATTCCAAAATCTCTGTAGATGTTCATTGAAATGAAAAAGAAATAAATTTTTTAAAAAAAGTTAGTTCTAGGAGGAAAACTGATTTGTACAATTTCTTCCAATTCTAAGTACTAACATTCTATTTCTGTAAACGTGCAGAGGTCATGCTGAGTTTTAGCTTGATTACATTTTCTTATGATAGATTAAGATAAAATTGTATTTCTCTGTACTATATATCAATTGGCAGGTGTTCCTTAAAGTGAATACTTAGTCTACAAATCTTTTCATGTCTTTACAAGCCTGCATATTCTTTTCTTGAAAGGTTTTGGTGAAATGTGATTCTGTGCACACCTAGTGATTTTGTACACAGAGCATTTTTTCTCATACATACATCTGTGCCTTATGACATTTATTGTTTTCTAATTCACTGCAGAAACATATTGATCAGTTGATTGACTCAAATTTAACTCACTAAATGCTTCAAGACATGTACATATTTAAGATTTGTGTAATATGAACCTCATTCTTAATTTTTGGTAAATTTCTATTTTTCTAAGATTTTTAACATTCATTTCTTCAAGACAAGTTAAAATGTTGTTTTGATGTGTATTTGTTGTATGCCTTTTGATGTTTTATTTATAGACATAATTCTAAAATTAAGCTATCTAGCTCTGGTGTCACAGTCTGGAGTGGGTTGCACTGCTAACACAATGGTTGTGTCTCAGATGGTTTGAATCTCCCAGCAGTTCCAAGGGAGAAAAATGAGCAGTTAATATATTATATATATAATTCTAGCATATCTTTCAAAAACCTCAAAGTAACTGTCATCAAGTCAGTGCCAACTCACAGTGAACCTTCATCTAGTTTCCAAGGCTGTGAATTGTAAATAGAGGAAACTGCTCATTTTCCTCCCTTGGAACTGCTGGGAGATTCGAACCATCTGAGATACAACCATTGTGTTAGCAGTGCAACCCACTCCAGACTGTGACACCAGAGCTAGATAGCTTAATTTTAGAATTATGTCTATAAATAAAACATCAAAAGGCATACAACAAATACATATCAAAAACAACGTGGTGAAGAGCTTGAGATTGTTCACAGCTTTAGTTTGCTTGGCTCCACAGTCAACACTCTTGGCACCAGTAGCCTGGAAATTA